TTGGGAATGGATACTAAAATACTTCGTATGCACCTTGATTGAATTAGATGTAATGGTTTAGAGGTTACTAAATATTATATTTCCTTCAACTACCTAATAAATAGGAAACAATATGCAAGGAAATTTCAAGGACATACAAAGAATTCAAAACACAATAGTTTGAATTTACTTTTTAGGCATCATTACGTTGTCATGTTTCATATACTGAAACATAATGTATAAACACAAGTAATTATACATCCAAGCTCGAATAGATTAAACATAATTGAACTTACTAATTTGAAGTTTACTGAATTGTAACTAGTTGTTTTCCATAATCTAAAGTTCGTAATGTTACCTAAGCGAATATAAAGTGATAAGTCGCGCCTTTGCATCGAATACATATATACATGCTGTTGAAAGTTTCATGTTGATTTGAATTGTCAGTTTTCTATGCAATTTACATGAGCATTCTGTAAAACGTTTGTATTTGATCTGTGTAATTATCAAATCCGGTGCAATTATCACGTGTATCAATCAACTCAGTCTCTATTGATCCATCGTCAATAAAAGCTGGATAGTATATCAGTTACGGTATCGATACACATGCGTATAATCATTCAAGCAGATTACAGTAATGAGATAATTGAACGCCTCTTTCGACCTTGGAAATAACAGCCTCCGGTAGAATGCATATATAGTTACGTCCTTGTTGAAAAGGTTTGTCCCGTGACAAGTGTAAAATAAACAGATGCGCTGTTATATCATTGGACATCTTGCTTTATGGAGTCACGCCCTCTCTGTGATGTTTATACATGCATGCACATCTGTAATCTTATGAACCCTCGTTTGCATTCAGTAAAGATATAGGCACGCCCACCTTCATAAATATTGGGGGTGGGGTGTCAACTGCAAGTTTATACACTATAATAATTCAGTATAGTGTCACCTCGTGAATTCTGTAATGCGTGTACTCTAGTTTGGGTAGTCATTCGTATCAAGGTGAAGATTATATTTACATGTACAGCAAACCATTATGTAGTAGTTATTGTGCATAAAATGTATATGAAAATAAATACTACCTCTACTCAGTGGCTGGATTTCAATCGCTTTGTTTTACTTATCGAAAAACACTAAAATGAGTACAAATAAACTCGCCAAAGTGACTATCTGCTCCTATTTGTCTTATGTGTATATTTCATACATCGTTACCAGTGTGTATGTTTACAATACACAAACTGTTACATGATAGCTTGAGTTGATAAAGCCAGGAAACTCAGCATATCGACTGGTCAAGGATATAGCCAATAACCAATCTCTTTCCAAGCTGCTGAGTGACCAAACGTGCCCTTCAGAAATTTCGCCCAGGTCCCGTCACCTGTCCTTTCCTCTGTGACAGGTATCTCATGATACGATTGGTCGCAGATAACATATGACCAGCCACTATACTGAACAGTTGAGATACCGAACGTTCTATTCGGGAATTTGATGACGCCCTATCACGTGACTCTTTGTTTTATGTCTATGCAAGGAATATGTAGTATACATTTTGTATATGTATGTTTGTATGGTCACGTATGTTTTCTGCATTAAATCTGTATGAAATAAAGTGCAATGCTATGAATGTGCTTTATTGCTAGTCACAGACTTGCGCTATAGTACTTTCATTAAAATAATTCGTAAACACTAGAAATGTATCGGCAAAACCGCTATATCGTCGAAGATTATAAAGTATGAAAGTAAATTCTTCTTTACAGTATGTCATTGTCATAGATGTTTTTGCAAATTTAAACCTCACACAAAGATATAAAGAGAGAATTTGTTAACGCGTGTCTCATCTGTTACATACAAAGAATACATGTGTATGCATATTGTGATAAAATATAAATGTACAAGCCGATAAACGGTCTACAAGAAAAACTTGCAATAAAATTAGATAAAGCTTGCAATACACGACATGTATTCACACCTGATTTCTTTCAACTTATATCTTTACGACACAATTAAACAATCAGGATTTGTTTTGTACGACTAGACAGTTTCCTGTGATCCCCGAAACCTGCCAGGGAAATCAGGTGTGACTAGCACTAATTAGTCTCGGCACAGAGAGTGGGCAATCAGCGAGGGCTTCCAGGTGTTGAGTAGTGATGGGGCTCTCGAGGCTCAATGAGTTAAACGGGTTTATTGAGGATTTGGTTACAGTGCCAATCTGCTGACCATTTTCCCGCGCATACTCTCGGTCGCACGTAAGGTTTCATTCTCGATAATCTCCAGGGTATACGTTCCGATAAATCTCCACTATACCCTGGATGCATCTACGGCTCGAGCCGATGATTTTATGAACTCCCTTGGTTGTTTTTTATCCAATCAGGTGTCTACGCTGGGAAGTTAAGCGTACCAATCATAACTACCTTTCGCTTTTTATATTATCTAACCGATTAAACTTGGCAACACAATAATATATGTTGCAGAGGTACTCTGAAAGAGGTAGAAGGAGTACTTGCATATATTTTTAAGGTTTCAGACCTGTCAATTTGTCTGTATGTATTCCCCAAATCTGAGTCGCACTGTGAACAAACTTTCGCGGCTGCGACCGCTATCTTTGTTCACACTGGCAAGCTTGGTTTGTAACGGCGGCTTATCTGATTGGCTACTGTGAGAATGCTGAGCCAGCAGATGCATCCAGGGGTATAGTGGAGATTTATCGGAACGCATACCTTGGAGATTATCGAGGATGATGAGGTTCATGCATGTATTGTCCATGGGGGCGACGTGGGCCAATAAAAGGCCTTTTTGCGCCCAACACATTGACTCGAGTTAATAAAAAAATCATATGTAATGTCATCGCTAAAAGAAATCGTTTAGTTAACATAAAAGAACCTCTGCTTAAGCAACCGCTTCAATTTCTGAAACATGAAATACTCTTTCAATAAAGAAGCAATAGGTTAAGGTGACAGAGCGTTAAAATGATTTAAAATCCCAGAACTAAATCTGTCTAAGTCACTTAAGAGCCTGTCTAGATAACATCGTATTTTCCAGATGACGACACAAAATCTATAAACATGGGGTTAAAATAATAGGTGTTGCAATACTGTTCTTTCAAGTGTATAGTATGGACATAGATTAAAGACATATTTCATGTTTGTTCAGTGGGTATTTGCCCTTGATCTGGTTATTGGGTTTTCACTGGTTTTAATATTAATAAATGCGAGTATTATCATTGGACTTCCAGCCATTCGGAGGAAGGATTATTATGGAAACAATAATGGCATACTAAATGACCAGTAGAGGCTTTTATAACCCGCCTTAGTAATAACATACTTAAAAAGAAACTATCTTTAAAGGTAAAATCACTACAGTGGAAATTCCAATGACGGAAGATGAAGTTCCTGAGGCAAAACATGTGAGTACTTTATATAATGTATTGAGGCCACTACTCTTGCAATATGTTTGTTCCGGATTCCAAAATTAGTACACCGTGCTGATACGTTTTGTTTTAAAATTAAATTTCAAATTCAAAACATAACTAGAAATCAAAGTAGTTATGCTAATAATAACGGCATATGATGTATTGGTTTATTTGATAATCTGTTTCAGGATAACGTAGAGAACATACATTCTAAGCTGTTTTTTTTCTTGCTTTGGCAGTGAAATTTTTCATGCGCAATGGGACTGTGATAAGTGTCCATATCAACGATGCTTTGCCACTGACGCATTCGTCGCTGTGGAACTGTACTCCAACCTGCGTTGTGGACCTGACTTATAAACTCTGCAAAGCACTTTGCCAATTTGATAACAAATCTAAGCGTGATTACAATGCTTGTCTGTCGAAAATGGAAAATGGAAATATACAATTTGTCTTTGGACATGACGAGAAGGATGAGGCCGTGAAAATGGCAAATGACTATGAAGTTGTGAAAGACATGATGGAAGAACTTTTAAACAAATTCATGTGGAAATGACCGATATCGGCGTAAATATAGAATTTCTGTCTCCGACGAAAAATCCAATTACGAGGATGAGTCCCCACCACAAAGTAAGATGAGATACTATTTCTTAATCAACAGTTGCTTCTGTCTGCTAACATTATACTGGTAAAGCAGCTTTTACGAAAAAATCACACGAACTAATAACCACAAACGTTCTCACTTTTATCTATAATAGCTCTCACTTTTATCCATAATAGTTCTCACTTTTATCCATTAATAGTTCTCACTTTTATCCATTAATAGTTCTCACTTTTATCATTAATAGTTCTCACTTTTATCCATAATAGTTCTCACTTTTATCCATTAATAGTTCTCACTTTTATCCATTAATAGTTCTCCATTAATAGTTCTCACTGTTCTCCATTAATAGTGCTCACTGTTCTCCATTAATAGTGCTCACTGTTCTCCATTATAGTTCTCACTGTTCTCCATTAATAGTGCTCACTGTTCTCCATTATAGTTCTCACTGTTCTCCATTAATAGTTCTCACTGTTCTCCATTAATAGTTATCACTGTTATCCATTAATAGTTATCACTGTTATCTATTAATAGTTATCCATAATAGTTCTCACTTTTATCATTAATAGTTCTCACTTTTATGATTAATAGTGCTCACTTTTATCATTAATAGTTCTCCATTAATAGTTCTCACTGTGATCCATTAATAGTTATCCATAATAGTTCTCACTTTTATTCATTACTAGTTCTCACTTTATCCATTAATAGTTCTCACTGTTATCCATTAATAGTTATCCATAATAGTTCTCACTTTTATCCATTAATAGTTCTCACTTTTATCTATAATAGTAACACAATCTTAATCCTCTTCTAATTTTATGAATAGAAACTGCAGGAAGATCACAGGACAGAGAACAGAAGCCTGAACAGGAAACCGCCACTACCGGCGATGGTAAAACGAGTTATTGTCGTTTTGGTCTGTATACAATATCTACAGTGAACTTCCTCTTTTTGTTACTCACCAACATGCAATTGGCATTACAAAACAGTTGTTTGTATAATAGCTTTCTGTTTTCCTACCTTGGTCACAATAACGTGTGAGAGAGACCTGGTGCCAGCATATGGTCGATCTGTCAACATTCAGTTTGTTTTATGATAATCATGTGACAGTTTTCATTCACGATCTCTGATTTTTATGTATTTTTTCATTCAGCATCATACGTTATACGTTGAATAAAAACTGACCTAAACTAGTCTTTGGCACAGTATTGTTTATTCTAACGGCACGATATGTTTTAACACCTGTAATTGAATAAAAAGGGAACCAAAACATCCGAGACTATGCAGTGAAGGTGAACAGAAAACAGCCCCTGTGTGTGATTGCAAAGTAAAAATTTTGTATTAGTTCTGTATGAAACATGTATACTATACTTCTGTATTTATTAACATTTAATATTGCCTACAATACAGCAATACTTGTATAGATTTCATTTTCGTTCTTTAGTGACTACCAAAGGAGTTGATGGCACAGGTATAGCAAACAGATCAATTGTTGGCGGGACCCTGAGAATTGGAAAAGTGATTCAAGCCCAGGGTATGATTTAAACAATATTTATTCATTATTAAATGAACCGATTGGTAAACAGGCTATAAGCCTATAGAAATACCTCTCCGAATACAATGCGATGGGAAACATTTTATATACATTCATCATTACAGACAGGAGAACACACCATTTGAGGAGTAAAAGACTTAATGAAAAGACAGTAGTATAATTAATCAATTAGGTAAAAATCGTTTTGTTAAGGTAAAATAGTCATGTACAGATTTTACAATATTTTCATTGATTTCGTCAGAATATGAGTAACTTCCACATAGTACAGATTGAATATTAAAACCATTTATGTAATAGAAACACTGCGATCGAATTGTATTAAAATTTGGTCAGATAAATAGAAAATGAATGGCATCTTCATAATGATGGCCACAAGTGCAAGTAGACGTATTTTGATGAAAACGGTCAAATTTATGTGCGTTTAAGTCACTACAGCCAAGTCTTAACTTACAATGAATTATTTGATTAAATGTATTACCAGTGTTTCTGAAGACATGATGTACGTTGGATGAGACAGTTCGATCAAAGTTTTTCTTGAACATGGCAACGGAATCTATGTTTCTTATAATTATCTAACTTGTTCCTCTCCATCACAGAGGATGGTAAAAAAATGTTTTTATATGTTTCCGTACGACATAATGGTACTTGAAGCATATTACTAGATATAGATCCATATGTGGATACAGAGGATATGTTTATTGGAATTAGATCTGATAAATACTTTGGAGTTTTATTATGGAACATTTTATGAAATACATACATTTGGTGGTTTTACGACGTTACCTTAATGATGAAAAACCAGTTTCATGGTAGATTTTGGAATGACAAACTCCTCTAACTGATCCACATATGGTTCTTAAAGCATCTAAGAGAAGTTTTGCTAACAATAACTCTTGAGTTTTTGTGTACAGTTATTCCAAATATAATCACAATAGTCAAAAAGTGGTAAAACAAATGAACTATACAGGGTTTGGAGGGTTTTACTCTGAAGGCGGTATTCTTAAACAATTGATCATAGGACTGACTTTAGAAATAATATCATCTATATGTATATTCCAGTGGCCATCACTTTGTAAAGTCAGCCCCAGATGTTTATGAGTGTAAACAGACTTTATCGGTATATCAATCTTTATAAGATCTGGCATTGATGTTACTGTTTTCTTTCTAGAAAAAAATGATAGATTCAGTTTTATTGGGATTAAAGTTTACTTTCCATGTCTGGGCCCATTTAGCTATTATTTCTAAATCATCGTTTAACATATTGGAAGATACCATAGGGGCATCAATTATCACATATAAGGATGTATCATCGGCAAATAATTTAATATTACTCTGTATATCTTCAACAATATCATTGATATAAACCAAAAAGAGTAAAGGTCCTAGGACTGATCCCTGAGGGACGCCAGCTTCAATTGATTTAACATTTGACTTATACCCAGTTATTACTGTAAAATGTTTTCTATTATTTAGATAACTTTCAAACCATAATAAAAGAGATCCGCGAATTCCACTAGCCCATAACTTATGCAAAAGACCCTTGTGCCAAACCCTATCAAACGCTTTACTTATATCGCAGAATACAGCGCGTACCTCCTTGCCACTATCCATCGCCTTAGCTATATATTCATACAAATGAGTGAGCTGGTATGATGTAGAATCACCAGTCGTGAAACCTGACTGTAAGAAAGTAATAGTTCCATTATCTAGAAAAACATTTGACACATATTTAAAAACACACTTCTCAAATACTTTTGAAAGACAACTAGTAAGTGAAACCGGTCGATAATTAGTATAATCATGAACATTATTTTTCTTATAAATTGGAACAACGGATGAACATTTCCATATATCTGGAAATTGAGAAGAGGACAAAGAAATATCAAACAGGTTACAAAGTGGAATGGACAATTGTTCAGCTAAACATTTTAAGACATGGGGGATACACACGATTGCTAAGATGATCTGGACCAGTTGCTTTAGTGACATCAAGCGAAGGTAAAATATCCCTTACTTCAACGCTTTGTAATCTTATATCAGTGAGACAAGTTTCCACGTTAATATCAGAATATACATTAACATCATCAGAAGAACTGTTAACCGCTGCCATATTTGCTTTCTCAATATCATCTTCATAAACAACACCATTGTGTTCAATGTGTGGAAATATCTTAGCTTTATCTGTTTTCTTAAGATAATGTTTAACAATCGGCCACCAAGATTTACTACCATGTTCTGTATTGACAACATTATCAAGTTTTTCAACATACAATGACTTACTTTTACGTATCTCTGAGATAAGCTTATTTCCACCTTTTCTAATTTTTTCCCAATCATTAGGCAAGTTACTACGTTTAGGCTTTCTATGAATTCTATTTTTCTTACGCATCAGTTTTCTTACAAATCCGTTCATCCACGGAGCATCATTTGGACGAATCACAACAGTTTTATTTGGAATGTTTGATTTACATTAGTCTGTATATGTATTAACAAATTTTGAAGCAATGGCATAAGCCCAGCGTATGTAGATTTGTTTGAAAATACATGTGAAACAGACACTTCCATATATTAACGTTTTGTCTATGAAATGAAAAATGACTATATATGTGGATGTAATAGTCCTGGGGATATATATATATATATAATATATCCAGATATTTCTTCTTGCCAAATCTCCTTTATATCTGCATAAGATCTTTCGCCGTTCAACGGCTCTTCAGGTGTATAATGAAAGCTAAGTGTCGTCATAGGCGACGCATAACGGTAATATCTACGTCGTCACCATGCGTATGACGTTACAGTTAGTGACAGTAGCGGGAGACGTAAAACGTAGTTCAGGGTGACAGTAAGGTTACGTTTGTGACGTCATCATGTTTTTGACGTCATGGTTAGTAACAATAGTGTTGGACGTGTATGGATTATGGTTTCAGTACGCAAATACATACTGAGGGACACTGAGAAGGTTACAAAATTATACGTTTGAATTGCGCTTAGGTTTAAACAGCCGTATGAACATTTGTTCTATTTCCATCCGTAATTGTTTATCATTGTTAAACAATTGATAAAACGGAAAGATAGTAAATTGGTGATTCCCGCATTCATCAATGTGTTTGTTTTCATTAATACATTACACATTAGGGTCTCGAATTTGTTGTCTGTGTACAGTGACTCGGTCCTTTAGTTGCATTCTAATTTCTCCAATATAATGCTTACCACATCCCGCACATGTTAAAACATATATATAAATTTTGCTGCCGCAGTTCATGTTGGTTTTGATAGTAAATAGTTTGTCTTCACAAAATGTAAATTTGCAGTCCTCGGTTATGATTGAACAAGTTACACATCGAGGTTCGGGGCATTTTGTTACACTGAGAGTGTTTGTATCTTGTGAATATTTAGATGGACAAAGGTGAGTGAGTGAGTTAAAATTTAAAGTCACTTTAGCAATATTTCAGCCATATCGTGACTAAATCAAGTCAAACTAAATTCTGTCAACGAAGGACAGTAAAACAACTAAACTATCACAGTTACAAATTTAAAACTAGTAACTAAATTTAAAACATTTTAACTATACATGACAATATAATATTAAAACAGGCTGTATATTGCCAAGAACTGAAGGTAGATCACGATACTGGGGACAATGGGGACTTACAGTACATTTGCTTCCTGCATGGGACCCAGCTGTATTTACATCATCCCTTCAGCTGTTACCAATTTAGAATAATCTAGCCATACATTAAAAATACATATACACCTGGAACTTAATTAAGCACCCCCGATATATTTCATGATAGTAAAGCAACTGTTAACCATCGTTAAACATGAATGATATCTCTGTATGACAACACATCTCTAGTAGTCTAAAAAAGGTGTTTGAGTTCCTTTGCACTCGTCACAACGCATCCCCTTGTGCACGTAAAGCATACAACCCACACTTTTCCCCAAATTCAGTTTCTCTGACATGCAATTTTACGGGTATAAAAGCAGACAAATTTGTAACTGTCTCCATCCATTAATGAATACTGAAATGGCGAGGAGAAGACTTTCTGAAGCACTAAGGTGGCAAATTGTCGGCATGCATGCAACAGGCATGTCCTTCAAAGCTATTGGACGACAACTGGGATACAGTCACTCGGTCATCAGCCGACTTGTCCGAAAACATCAGATGAAAGGAGATGTGAGAGATCGTCCAAGGCCTGGACAACCCAGGGAGACAACGGCCCGTGGTGATCGCAGCCTGGCACGTCTGGTAAGGCGAGGACCCTTTGCCACAAGTTCGGTTTTGAAGCGCCTGTGGTTACCCTACAGACAATTATCCACCAGAACCGTCAGAAATCGCATTAGGGCACTTGGTATGAGGTCCAGAAGAGTCAAACGTCCTGCTCTGTCTGATCTCCATAAGAGACGACGTCTGGAATGGTGTATGGCCCGTCGACAGTGGAACCTGAGGACATGGAGGAGGGTCCACTGGTCAAATGAGAGCAGGTTCCTCCCCACGTTACAGATGATCGAATGAGTGTGGAGGCATAAAACACTGCTTACGTGCCCAGGAATATCCACCCTACTGTTCCTTATGGTGGAGGATCGGTTATGATCTGGGGTTGTCTTTCACACGACTGTAAACTTCAAATGGTGACTGTCCGAGGAAATCTTAAAGGTCAGCAGTACATCCGGGATATTCTCCATCCAGTTGTTGTGCCTCACTTTGACAACCACCCGTTGGCTACTCACCCGACATTCATGGACGACAACGCCAGGCCGCATCGTTCACGTGCTGTGACCGCACATCTCCAGAATGAGGCTATCATGACATTACCTTGGCCAGCAATGAGCCCTGATTTGAATCCTTTGGAGCACATCTGGGACTTTCTTGGACGCCGTGTGAGGTTGAGAGAACCCCCTCCAGAATCTTGCACAGCTGAAAGCTGCTTTGCATGAAGAATGGCGGCAATTGC